CCCAACAGAGCAAAGCGCCGCCCGTCTGGTTGCAAAATGACACACGTACGAGTAACGTACATTGTCCTTTGAGGTGCCGCTACAGGGTGCTCATGTCGGGGTGCGGCAGGGAAGAGAAGGCCAGACGTTTGAAATTGACTCGCAGATTACTTGCGCTCCGGAACCAACGACCCCCACACTCATCATTCAGCGTCGAGTCGTGTGCAGTCACGCAATCGGTGTTATTCAGTTGCGCAAAAGTCTCTCTGCAACTCCAGTGTCCCGTGTCCTGTGTCCTGTGTCCTGCGTGCTGTGTCCTGTGTGCTGTGTCCTGTGTGCTGTGTCCTGGATCCCAGACCGCCCACCGGACAGGGAATTTCAACAGATCCCAGATGCCGCAACAGATTCTCGGCAGCCCCATCCCAGCATCGCATCAGGGGGCATGAAGTTAGTCGTTGTGTCGTTTCCGTGAAGAACCCTTCTTGTTTCGAGCACCTTAAACCCTAAACCACAATCACTGTCCCACTGACTGGCGTTGGCCTTGTCTGCGGAAGAAGAAGTGATCCTCACAGCAAGGACAAAGGGACTAACACATTCTCAGCATCAGGGCGCCCGGATTGGAACCTATTTAACTTCGTACCAAATAACATCTAGTACCAAACTGCCGCCGTACCAAATAAAACTGAAACTAATACCAAAAAATATTGAATCTGGTACCAAATTCGCCCTGGTACCCAAATCGTTGAAGAGTGTAACCAAAAATATTGAAACTATTCGAGTGCCATGATGTTACAAACAGCTGACAAGCTCCGCCAGGAGGGTGTCCACGCTTTGGAACAGCAATATGACTCACCGATCAGCCATATGCGCTCAATGGGAGTCACCAAAAGCACAGCCACTATCACAGCCCTGTCAATCGCCCAGGATTTCTGAGCGTTCCGCTCCTGCACTTTTTCCAACTTATCTCATAGACACTCACAGGACAACGAGAATCATCACAGCAAGTAAATTCAAGCTCAACAGGACAATTGGGGTATTGTCGAGCGCTGCCGAAGCGAGGCGCAACCCCAGAGCTGAACTTCGTGTTCAAGTTCACCTTAACCGTTCACATACAACGAGAAACATGCAACTGCTGACCAGCTCGACGAGAGGCACGAAAATACACGCTCAAACTGCGAAACGATGCTCCACACCTCGTTCAGTAGCTCAGTATGACGAGCGTACTGACCATTCTCCAGATGTCTCAAACCGATGTCGTCGATGCTCGTTCCCTGCGGTCCAGCGCTGCGCTCCACTCACTCTCCAAGCAACGGACGATGAAGACACGTCGTTCAGTCGACAAAGTCAGCGCCCAACACGAGCGCACGCGGGTCAGCCAATCAAAGAGACGGGAGACAAGCTCGACGTCGAGCTGTGGGTATGTGCAGCGATGCACAACCCAAGAGGCAACTGACCCGAAGGGTCAAGAGGCAAGGCACACGGAAACGAAAGTGCTTGTTACAAGGCTGCTCCCCTTCGACCACGTTCGACCTCAATGCACTCACAGCACGACCATTCGCAGCCAAACACCAACCGTCCTGACCGCAGGAAACAAGAACGGATTGGTGTGGGGCGGAGAGAGAGAGGAGAGGGGGGGGCACTCACAACCCAAACAGCCCCTCCTAAATACCCCCACCAGCTCCAACAGCACTACAACTTCAACAAACCTTGGATAGTCCAACAGACACTTTGAGAAAAAGGCCCCAATACCCCTTGCACAAACAGTCCACCTCCTTAGAACTTCCCACTGACCTTCACACACAATTTCCCACCATTGTACCATAACTAGTATTGCCTTTCTAGTTTGTATTTTTCTTGGCCGTCAACTTACCCTATGGTCCCTATGCATTCCTAGGGACCAGCCTGGCCCTTTTCGCACGGTACCAGTCTGAGTCATACTCAAAAAGGTGGCCGTCATCATCCCTGGCTGCCCGCCATGCAAACACTTCAGCTTCGTCCCACTCTCCCATCCCCGCGCGATTCCTGGCGACCACCGCGGAACGAACGCGGAAGGCCTGGCGTTCGTTTTCCATGGCCGCCACCCATCGTAGAGTGAACGCGAGCGTTCCCTCTCCCTCGCCCGCCATTCGCCAAACCGCGGTCGAGTCCACGGCCCCAAAGATCCACCGGTTGGGGAGGCCGGAGCCGCGGATGGCACCCCATGCCAAAGCGCCATCGGTCCCCGCCTCGCAGCCCTGCTTGACGAGAAAGGCTGCCTCACTCGAGACGAGGGGCGCGCCCAGCTCGCGCGTTCCTTGGGCGGCCGGGTCAGGATGCACCTTGCCTTGTCGCGGGATGGGCACCATCCACCGAGTGGGGATGCAGCTGGGCCCCGCCATCGCTTCCTCGCCCAACCCCTCGTCCGCGTCGCGACACACCGGCACCCAATCCGGCAGCCTGCTCTACTTGATCCGTGCCATCTGCCCAACTTTCAGCGCTTTCCGCGGCGAAACGGCAGCGTCGCTCCGTTCGGACCAGCGGCAGGTCGTGGGGCGCGGAGGCTTTGGGGGCGCAGGATGCGGGGATGTGCCAAACGTGTACGACGCAGTACAATACAAAAATTACCAAAGGGCAGTTTCCCATACAGCCGCTAAACAACAATGCATTGTCAGCACCCGTATACAGCGTCCCATCATGCTCCATTGGACCTAACACCCTTCCAGTACTTGTCCTGTCAAAGTCCTAGGACATTTTGAAAAGTTCAGGTCCATTGAAGGACAACCCCTACGGTCCATGGCCTTCTCAAAACGGGTCAGAAATTGGCCGTTTTTCCTTCCGAAAGTCACTCAAGAGGTTCTTACAAAACGACCAGCCTCTCATTCAGGGTCCCTCACCATACGCCCTGCACACACCGTGCCTCTTTGTCCCCGGCTAATAGTACTGGAAAATCTACTATAATCGCATACTAAACCCAATTCTGTACATCCCAAATCCATCACTGAAAATTGTATTGTATCCCGTCAGCCCGTGGGCCCATCCAGCTCGTTTTGGCCCCTTTCTTTGGCCAGTTCACAGCCCAGTCACAGCCGTCCGTGCTGTCCGTACAGTGCCCTTAAATTGACTTCATTGGTGATCATTCTGGACGGTTCTGCTGAGTGACAATGCAAAACAGCGAGATGGAGGACATCTCAGCTGTAAATGCATCAATTCGTGTGCACTGGAGAGAAGCTAAGCGTGCGTACGTTTGCCTTGATCATTCAGCAGCTGCATGACCGCTAAATGTAACCGTATGTCATGCCGTTCAATGTGATTTCTGCTGAGCACATTGACCTTTCCTTTCTCTACGGTTTTCTCTCGATTACAGTGGTGGCCATTTACTTGAGCAGAATGGACTGTAATCGAACAAAACCAGTACCAATTAGTCATCAAAACGCTGCCGCCATACAGGGCTCCTAAACCCTAAACCCTAAACCAAACAACCAAGCGCAAGCCCAGTACTGGTCGCAGGCTGCCATTCGACGGCTAATTGGTACTGGGTTCAAAGTTTTTGGTACACCGTTCACCATTTTCAATATTATTTGGTGCTATTTTCAATTTTGTTTTTGGTACGGCGGCAGTTTGGTACTAGATTCAATTATGGGGTACGGAGTTAAATTATACGCGGCCTGGATTTCGTCCCCAGTTAGTCGTCGCTGCTCCACGGCTGCCCCACGCAGCGCCCCCGCCTCCCAGTGCCCCCCCCGTTCCTGCACTTTCCCCGACTTACCTCATGCCGGCGTCAAGGTTACGGCAGCGCCCACCAACGCGCGCGAAGAGGCTCGCGTGCAGTGCGGGCGGCGCTCTCTTCCGCAGTGCCCGCCGCCACGACGGTCCCGACGCACCAGCCGAGTCTGTGCCAGCGCGAGTGTGCGAAGCTCGATTGACGGTTGCCGGCGGGGATTGCATCCTGCTGTGTGTCCCGGGGGGTTGGTCGGTGGAAGGGTGGGCCCCGGATCGGGGCGCTGAGTAGCGCATTATGGGCCGGTTATTCGTCTTCGACGTCATCGCACCTCTGTGGCCCTGATCGAGCTGCGCGGACGCCTGCGGGCCTGGCTGCCGCCGGGAGGGCGGGGAGCGGGCGGCCGTCGGAGCGGCGTCCGGCATTGGGCGGGCCGTGCGTCCCGGCGGGCTAACGCGGCAGGTGGGGGACGGTGACCGCTGCGTCCTGTTTGCTTGCGCGGCTGCGCTGGGTCGATGAATGCGGGCTGCTCTGGGTTTGATGGTTCTTGGCGCATCGCTCATGCCTCGGGGGGGATTTCTTGGGGGGCCCTGAATGGCGTGGAATCGTCGGGGGCCACCTCGCCCCGGGAGAATCCGCCCCGCCTCGGAGAGTAGCTTCGTGGCTGCCGATGCGTCCTGTTGTGTTCGGCCCAAGGCCCTGCGCCTGCAGGAGTTCGCCCCCCTGGCTGAGCTCAGTTCTTTGCCACACGAAAATTCCAAATGGGACAGCATTCCGCGACGCGCCATGCCTCGAGCCTGTGACGGCTTGAGCTTTGGGGCTCCGGTTCTCCACCGTGTTCGACTATATTGTAGTGCGAGCAACGACACGCTTAGCTCGGATACCTCGCGCCCCCTCTGGTATTGCGCCCCGCTGGCCCCATTCTGCCAGACCGGTTGATTACGGTGCCAAGGATTAAGGGTGGTTTCCATCGTGGGCCTATTGGCACATTAGTTTTCGCCTGACGGAGTGTGCTAATTCACGAGAAAAAGGGTGGACTAGTGCACAGCATATGTGTGCACAGTGCTGGAGCCATGCCAATTCTCTGCATGCCTCATTTGGAGGCGGGCAGAAAACGGGCATGTATATTCTAATCTTGCTGCCTGTCGATTTGGGGATATGGGTTCTGTACAGTTTCCCTGGCGAACGCGCTGGAGCCCATCACGTGCTTGATGGCAACTGTGTGGGCTCATGGCTTTCCGTTTTGTGCCCTTTGAGAGCAGTCTCTCAGTTTATCATTCTCTGCGGTGCAGCTTAAAGCCAGAGACGCATACAAGAGCGCAAAATGCTGAGTATGCTGAGCCTCCCTTCGAGCCGCAACTCGTCTGACACATCCTCCCCAAGCGTCTCTGCCAGCGATGCCCTGAACAGGCCGCACAGGACGTCTTCCCAGACTCCCATAATGTCCATGGTGTCACGGGTGCAAGCAAGGGATGACGAACTGCGTCGGCACTTTGGCCTTGCTTCAGGGGAACTCTTCATGGACGAGTTTTACTGTGCTCTGCACAAGAAGATCCTGCTGCAGGGTCGGATGTACGTCTTTGAGAACTATGTGTGCTTCTACTCCAATCTGTTTGGATGGGTGAAGCGAAAGGTCATCCCGCTGGTGGAGGTGTCAGAGATTTCGAAAAAGAGGCACTATGGCTTTCCGAACTCTATTAGGATCGTGTGGAATGGCAAGAAGGAGTTTTTCACTTCGTTTTTGTCACGAGAGGATGCCTATGCACTGCTGATCAACGTGTGGAATCAGGCGCAGCTGGCGGCCCAGACGCTAGAACCAGGTGGGCACACAGCAAGGGACTTCAGTTTGGCACTCACTGAACTTGCACCTTATTCCCCACTGCATCTAATGGCAAAGGTATCAGGAATGGCTGCCACTGAAAGCACAAGACGGCATGGACAATAACGAAATCAGTGAATTCCTGGCAGACACGAGTGTGGTTAGTACCCAAACAGATCGGGCAGCTTTTTAGTTGTACACAGGCAGTGACTGAACTTCAGTCAAATGGGGGCTGCTCTTTCCATGCAATGCTGCAGGTTGTGTGCGCTGTTTGATGTGTTTTATTCTGTTTTCTGGTTGACTGCAGGTCCAACGGACAGCTTCACCTCAGGACTTCCATCTGTGACGTTGAACAATTCTGCCTTCAGCGACTCGACTAATGGTGATGGTGACAGTGGGGAAGACCTGCCTATGCCTGAGCCACCGATGTTGCGGTTGCGGCGCTCAAAGCTTAAGCGCCAGAGCTGGGACTCCAACAAAGATATTTTTGAGGTCAGGGGGGATGGCGCTGACGAGCATGCATCTGGAATTTCGGAGGGGTCTGAAGAGGAGGAGGAGGAAGACGATGACAATGAGTGGTGTGTGTTGGGGTGTTGCTCTTGTTTCCCTTTCTACTTATTACAGGAAGGGGTTACAGGGGTGGGTTTGGGGGTGGGGTGGGGATGGGAGGGTGTCATTGCTCATTGCTGTGCTGCCGTTGTGAACGTCTGAGTGATGGCAGAGCCCTCTTGAGTCTGCTTGAGCTGCAGCTTTGGGTTGTAACTGCTGTAGCAGCTGGTGCCATCACACACAGTGCAAGGGGAAACTGTGGCCAGCCAATAGAGTTATGGAATAGCCTGCTTGACTCCATTGATGCGTTTATCGAAGGTGTACTGTTGCAGTGTTTGTTCAAAATGTTCCTTAATTTGGGACACTAATGCCGTTCATTCAGAGCTCATGTTCCTTGGAAGACTACTGTGTATGCCTGCTGTGTGTTGGCTGCACATGCTATTTTCTTCATCAAACTGGTGTGCTTGTGCAGACTGTTGGTTGCTGTACTCTGGTAATTGTTTGATCGTTGTGTTTGCCACTCCTTGCTAACGCCCGCCTTCACGTTGTCCACCTTTGGCCCCTTCCAGTCACTGGGAAGCCACACCTGCGCCCCCGATCCCGTCGACCATGCAGTGCATCATCGAGGAGGACTTGAACGCCACTGTCCCAGTGTTCTTTGAAAAGATCTTCTCTGACGCCTCTGCCTTCTTCGAGGAAGTGCACAAGGCGAGGGGGGACCAGCGGTTTCAGACCTCCCCTTGGCAGAGTCATTCCCAAGTGTGCGGGCGGGTCCGGCACATGACCTTCGTATCGCTGGTGAAGTCGCGCCTGCGGCTTGGCTGCTTCACGCCCTCCAAGACAGCATGCACCCAAAACCAGCGGTGCTGCATGTACACAGACCATCACTTGGTGTTTGAGAGCTCACAGGTGCGCTGTGCCGATGGTTTGGCGGCTGGGTAGCTGCTGGGGTGTTGCTGCTGTTTTCCATGCTGAACAGAGCTGGGCTGCATGCACATTTTCCTTGTGCTGCTGAAGAACATTTCTTTTCAGCAGAAATCTTCACTGCCAGTTTCAACCGAGACCAAAACCACCAGAGGCACCTGCTGGGAGCCTGTAGACAGCAGGACACTGCGTGTAATTCTTCTTGATTGCATGTGTCCAAGGGTAACACTGTGCTGCCCGTGAAAGTTCAGGGAAAATGTAATTCCCAGGTGGATTTCACTTGGTTGGTTGTAGTCTGGAAGTATCACAACATGTTTATGCCCGGAGTTGAGATGGATCACTTCAACTCGCCTGAGGTGCCAGTCGTCCAACAGATTTACAGAAACGAACAGAGATGGAAATCAAAAAGAGACGCACACAGTTTTCATCGCTGGTGCAAAGCAACTTGAAGATGTAAATGTCAGACAATCCGTAAATCATGAATCCATGCAACCATTCTAAACATGTGCTGCAACCACCGCAAATGTAACACGACTTCCTCTTGCTCCCTGCCAGGTGCACACTGGGCTCCCCTATGGCGACTGCTTCCAAGTGCGCACCCGGTGGGACGTGACACCCCTGGACCAGCACGCATCGGCATCTGAGGGCTGCCACCTGCGCATCCACGCCGAGGTCCCATTCACCCGCAGCGTCCTGGGGCCCATCCGCCTCATGATCAACACGGGCGTGTTCAAGGAGCTGCGTGAGGCCACCGATCGGATGGTGGTCTTCTTGAGGGAGACGTTTGCGGAGGAGGCCCTGTCCGACAGGGAAGGTTCAGAGGGGTCTCTGGATGGAGAGGAAGGGGAATCCCCGGATGGCGTTCAGGAGCTGCTGAAGCATGCAGACCTGCGGCAGTGGGTCGTCCAGATGGTGCGCGAGGAGCTGGGGGAGACGGCGAGCCTGTCTCCCGGGAAACTGCCAGTGTCGATCTCCAGCAGCCGCAGGGGGCAGCGGGGCAGCGAAGGAGGGCGGGCGCCCTGGCCTGGGTGGCCCCGGATAGGGAGGGGCGCTGGGCAGTCCAGGGTGGTGTTGATGGCCGCTCTGGCAGTGCTGTTCGTGCTGCAGATTTTGAATCTGATGATGTTTTTCTCCCCTTCCAGACAGTGCACGGGGGGGAGTGCTGTGGTGGGGACGCTGGGGGGTGCTGGTAACGAGCTCGTTGGCTACCTGTCACATGTGCAGGAGGACCTGGAGAGGCTGCAGAAGGATCTGGAGGGCTTGGTGCAGGCTGTGAGCTTGGGGATTGGCCACATAACAAAGGTGGTGGACAGTTTTGAGTTAGGGTGACAGGTCGATTTTTCACACGTAGTTTGTAGGCCGTGGAAGGCACAGAAGGAAGGGGGTGCTGCATGCGAACAGCAGCTCTCTATTCGTGGGCATTTGTACACTTGTGTCTTGGGACTTGTATAGGTGGGTTTTCAGGCGTGATTTCTATGTGGGAAGATTTTAGGGGTGCCGATGAAGGTGAGTTGGGGTTGTGCATTCTTGTAAAACTGCTTTCTGACTAAACAGATTGTGGTGTTTGGATTGGGCGCTTGAGTGTGAGGCGAGGGTGATGTGCAATCTAAAGGGTGCAGACGCGGTCTCTCGATGTATCGTGAGACACAAGTGCACATACTGCTCATGCAAGCTTATGCTTGTGTTCCCATCAGCCATTCCACAGAGCCCAGGGTTCCTGACATGTTGTTTTGTTGAACTACTAAGCTAGCCCAAGCAAAAGTGTGTGCCCACAGTAAGGACAGCATCAGCCATAGCAATTCTATCCTGCCAGGCCAAAGATTATATGCACTCAACATCACTGCAAGCTGTAGGAGATCGCACCAGTTGGTAATCATGCACTGCTGAACACCACTGCAGCTTTCTGCCAGTTCATGATAATCTGGGTTTTGAAGGCAATTGATACTACAAGAGAAAACGAAATACCTTTGGGCCAGGGGCATCAAGCATTGGAAGAGCAATGCCAAATGTGCTGTGCCACCAAGATGCCTTTTCGACAAATTGGCTCAGCCAGTGTGGAATGGAATTTGCCTCTGAATGCTGCCATATTTTCTGATACAAAGGGGGACAAGTCCGGCTGGTCGGGATTCCGCAGCTAAGGGCACACATGCCCTCCAATACAGTCCTTGCAATGGCTTGAACTACAATTTATTCCCACAATTGCCAGAATCACGTCCTCTCCACTCCTACGCAGACCAACCCAACCCACACGCAAACATCAAACAATCAAGGCCATGAGCACCTCCAATCAAAGCTCGTCGGTGAAGGGCGAGCCGAATGCATAGTACTTGTTGACAGATTGCATCAAAGAAGTGCAGAACAGACGAAGCACTTCCCGAATGGAGTCTGTCACAGTCTCATCCCCCACTTTCCTGTTTGGGCACACACAAAGACAAGCATCAATGCCCAGCATAAATAGGACGTATAGACAAATGAGATGGATACAATGGTATATAAATGCGAAGAACAAAAGAAGAATAAACAGTGCTAAAGCACAGTTCGTTCCCATACAGTTTTTCAACAAAAGACAGGTGCGTCCGGTGGGGTAAGCCTTTGGAAGGTACAGTGCCCCATATTGCCCTCATAGGTGCAAGAACAATGTTTCGAATACTTAGGCGGCTGTGATCAAAGAGGCACACAAATAACACAATGGCGATGCACCAGGCAACAATGGACCAGCCCATCATCAAACCACTGATCATCAACCACCGTTTCCCGACGGTGACTTTAGGCGCCACTCGACTGCCAATACAAGGCCAACGATTAAAGGGACAAGAAAACATTCTTAGATGCATTCACACTGCCCATCGTCAATAAAGTGCAGGGGCGCACCGATTCGCCTTTCGAATGCAATTCAAAACAAAGCATTTCAGTCAGCAATCCGAACAGAGCGGGAGCGCCCCGCACGCACCAGATCTGCAAGTTCTTGCCCAGAACGCTCGTGACGCCGCCCTCGTTCACCGGGAATCCGTCCTCGCCGATCCCAATGAAGTTCGGCTTCTCCACATTCAGCGTGTCCATCCGAACGCCCACCTTGCACACCATCGCGCCGTCGTCCATCAGATCCACGTCGAATCCCCACAGGCTCCTTCTCTCTTCCCCCTCCTCCCCGCCCTCGATGTCCTCTATGTAGTACGGCGTCACCACCATGTTGGCCCCAAAATTCTGCACCCCGTTGGTGCCGCCCTCGATGTTCGCCCACCGGTACAGCTGCGTCATGATGTCCGTCCTGGGGATGAACGCCGGGATCTCCTGCTCGGAGATCAGCTTGGCCGACGCCGCCGATGCGATGTCTTGCGGCACCGCCTGGCAGGCCAGGGGGCGAGCCACGCTGCGCTTGAGCCATGATGCGATGGCGGGCCGTTGGCGGTCGGGGAAGGGGGGATGCCGGGATGGCGAAGGGCAGGGAGCAGCCATCAACTGCGGCGGCGTCCTCACCAGGGGGTCAATGGTGTGGCGCAGCGCGTTCATCGTCGCGCGGGGACGTTGGAGGGCGGGGGGTGGGGGGGTGGGGCGCGGTCCGCGGAACTGCCAGGCCGGTCGTTTGGTGGCCGGAAGGGGTCTACGGACCTCAGGAGACGGTGCGTCGATACGGTGAGTACACGGATGCGGCCGATGGCCCCCTATTCTTTTCTTGGCGAAGAGCACATTGGCTGTGTGCAGCCCTGCGGTCTTCATTCATTCGTGCGGAAAACATCAGGCGCCAAGGCAAGGAGACGGGCAGGGACCCCTGCCATATTCCAAGCCCGGCCACTCGCTGAAGCTGCAGTTACAACAGGTTCGTTAGGTTGACTGCAGGTGAACGGAGTCGGAGTAGCGCGATGTGCTCGAACAGCCGAAAATGACCCAACCGTCACTCTTGGGCGGACGATCCGAGGATCATCCCCAGTCCATTGGGGTGCTGGAATGCTCCCCGTGCGCCCTGCACCTTCTGCCCTAACAGCCTTGACGGCCAGATTCAAAGACAGATTCATCATCATCATTTTATAGCAAGGCAATGAGGTAGCCGTCAGCTTCTTATTTTGCCCGAGCAAGGCAGTGTCTATGATCAGTTCACGCAAATCTAATATAACACAAACACAAATTAAGTCTAGGAATCTATGAAGTCGTAACGCCAAGAAGCGTTCGTCGATGATTGGACATCAAAAGAAGTGTCTTTGGCAGTTGGCATGCGGGAACTGAAGCAAACGGTGCTCTGACATTGGAATGCCGAAAAAGAGCTGCGTGGCTGCGGCGAATGTTATCATAGGCATGGCAGTGGAAGAGAAATGAATCTCATCTTCAGGAGCTGAGTGGCACAATGGACGCAATCGCCGAAAGACGGGTTCTTGAAGGAAAGGGCGTTGATGCGTTTCAAACAGGCCCCTTTGGAGTGCACACGGAAAGCGCGAATCCACGATCGCCGATGCTTCAACGGGTTGGCACACAGCCAGACGCAAGGCCACACCACACACAAAACGCCCGGGGCTTACATATTTGGTCACCCTTTCCACAAAGAAGAGCCTTGGCGACGGTGGCAACGACCCCCGCAACTGAACAATTCGAATCTCTTTGCACCCACAGAACTCTTCTTTTCACATGACAAGGACCATCATCCACCACAAACCAGCCATATGGCACTTCAAAGATGCCCACTCATCGCCACAATGCAACGCACTTCATAAAATATATGCCAAAGGTGCCCATACACTCAATGGTAATATAGAAATGTTTCAATTGTGAGTGCGTTCCCAACCACAACAATTATCTCTGAATCAGATGGCATCTCCCACAACATCAAAATTGATGCTTACAAAAGTCCCATCATAAGAGAAATAATTCTGTGAATTCTAGAAAACATTTTTCTTTTCTTTTTATAGATTCAGAATGCCTTGCATATAAACCATATTCCTAAAGTGCACACGAGTCGCACACCATAAGGCATAAGTGATCCACCCAGTGAAACGGTGGTCATTATGCGGTGTTGCGAACAGGGTTCAAAGGTACGCCGGTCTGTCAGGCAAACTTGGTGTCGTTCGGAATGATGCTCGTTGCAGGACCGGCGTGCGCCTATGTACCATGTGCGGCACGCTTTCTCCCAATGTGCATTACCGTCACAGGCCGGCACCAAATGAGTGGCCACGCGGGGATTCGCCATTACGCGAACGACCGCCACAGTACGGAGCCGCGGTACACGTTTCGGAAGGCTCACCGGCTGCGCAGCAAATTCTGCGCCAGTCTGAGCTTCGCAAACACCCATCAATGGCGCACGTCAGGCGCGCTTAATCTGGCGCTTGTTGCGGCCCAGGCGAGGCGGGAGTGCGAGCCCTTCGGTCCCCCCGGCTGGCGACCGGCGCGGCGCCCAGAAGCGCCCGCCGCTGCCCACTCGAGGCCGGAGATCGCGGCTGGCCCAGCCGGCGATCTGCGCGTTCGTCCGATCCGACGAGTCCAGCAAGCGACGCGCCCCCGCTTGGCGACATCGCTGCCCAGGGGGGCCGTGCGCCATGAACCGGCTCAAGGAGACGATCTTTAGGAACCAGAAGTATCAGCCCAACCTGCAGGGCCAGGCCTTCGACAACCTGTGCCGGCAGGCGACTGCCAAGACGCTGAAGGAGCCCGACGCGGAGCTGCACCGCGAGGTGATTGATTCCCGACGCCCCCCTCGGGGGAAGGAGTGGGAGGGCTCGCTGGTTGCAATCCTCGGTAGGGAGAGCGGGCGCAGGAGCCTCTAGCGGACGTGGGCGGTTCTCATGTTGGGGGATGCTGGCAGCGCGCCAGGAGCCAAGGGCGCTGCTTTGCGCCTGGCCGCTTTCGGATGTCACACGCGCGTTTGCCGGGATGGCGCCGGAGGCTGGGACGCGACGCGCGCACGGCGCCGCAAGGCTCGGGGGAGGTCCTCGCGGGCCATGGCGCGCGGGAAGGACGCCGCACCGCCCTTTTGCGGCGGGCCGCCCGGGCGGCCACGACGGATGCGGCTGACCCTCTGCGCATGGCGGTCGGGGTTTTGGGGGGATTGATAGTGGTCGCGCGCCTAGGCGGTCGATCATCGGGTGCAGTGCCCTTTGGCTGCGCAATTCCGCGCCGGCTGTTGAGTTTACGGGGTCGCCGCAAGCCCGCCGTGACGCCCGCGCTTACGTATGGCTGGGAGGCCATGCATCCGGATCATGTTGAGATGTAGTCTCAAATGGTGCGGCTTGGAGCGGGGGCGCAGTGGGCCAGGCCGGAAGCCGTCGTCTCGCGCCCTGTCGGAAGCGAATGGTGGTGAAATTGCTGGGTGTCGTGGTGTGGGTCAAGGGGGGCCGTGTGGCGAGGATGGCACCGTCTTCTTGCCTTTGGGTTGATGGGGAATTCTGCTGAGGCCGGATGTGTTGCGTTGCAGATTGAGTTGGCCATCAACGACAAGGAGTCAGGGCCTGTCGAACCTCAGGCGAGTTCAGTTCACGGTCTCGTGAATGCAGTTTTGGCAGGGGGCAAAAGTTGCTGCGCAGAGGGGAGGGCGGGGGAGCGCCAAAGGCGCCGGGAGACGCTGCGTTGTGTTCGTAAGGCGTTCGTGTCGATCCATGTTTCTGTTCGTCAATTCGTATAGTATGATTGTGCAAGCATTGGAGAAATCTTGCAGTGCAAATTGTTCATGTGCATGTGAATGCACCCCCCACAGCTGGAGCAGCAGCGTGGCTCACAGCTTTGCCACTCAAAAGGGCAGCACGCAATGACCGTTGGAGAGACTGTTGAGTATCGTGCCATGCCAAAATGCATGGCATTCTGTCAGGAGCCTGATGAAAGGGAAAAACCAGGCGTAACTGGGAATGATAGCAACTGTAGCTGACACCAGGGTACGTCCGAAGCACTAAGTTCTGACGGTTTTGACCTCACCAACTTGTTGCAGGAATTGGTGTCTGTATTGAGGAAGAGGCTACGGTCAGACAACCCTCACAAGCAGTACCTGGCTGTGCACTTAACAAAGCACATCCTGGCCAAATGTACCACCAGAGTGAAGGCCGAGAACATTTTCGCAGAGATTTTGTTCGAGGTGGCAGTCGTTGCTGCCAGTCCATCGAGGCCAGAGACCCCTGAGGCGAAAATGTGAGCAAAAGGGATTGCACACTCATAGACGACTTTCTGCCAGCCAGGCATCGGGGGCATCCATTGTATGCTATGGTCTCCACGCAGATAGCACAGTCTCCTTAGCAGTTAGCTACCCTGAATTCCAAACCCAAGCTACTGCAGCTTCAGCATCCACAGCATTATTGTACTGTCGTTGCATGCAGTTTGTTGTGTGCCCTGATGGCCACACACCGCGGCAGTTCCCCATGCACTGGCATTATTCAATGATTAAGCACCAGGATTGAACTCGATCAGTGGTAGCCGAGGTGATGGAGTTGATTGTGACCTCTCCAGTGCAAAGAAGGCCGCGTTTGATGTCCTAAGGGGCAACGGCAAAGCTGGCCAGGCAGCATTCAGGGCTGTCACAGGCTTGGGGTACAGCCAACATTGGGATCCAGAAACACGGATGTACACCTCTGCTCCACTGTCGGCCCGATCGGGAGGTACGGCTCCAGGCAAACATTTTGTCTTGCACCACAGTGTCTATTGTTGCACCACGTTTAGAAATTTGCTGGTGGGTTGTGCCGCTGAATTTGCAGATGGGTTTTGGCATTTTTATTTGAATAGTTTTTGGTGTTCTATATTTGTAACCACGCTATTCACTGAATACAGTGTCGCGAGATGACTCAGTGGTGAGCAGCGATTGAAAGCTGATGAGAAAGGAATCCACTCATAAATGTTTGGGAACTGCGTGGGGCTGCACAAATGGTTCACTATTGCATGAGCCCACAAACCTGGCCAGTCTTGGGTCAGACTTTTCTGCGCAGACTCACCCTGCTGTGGCATAGCCAGTCTCTGTGGGTTTGAAGAAAGAGCAATTTCTTGCCACTTCAGGGGAGCCAAGCAAAGATGCAAAGTCACCAAGACAGACAGCGTCGCCTAGGAAGGACGGACAGGCATCGCCTGGGGGGAGAGCTGAGACCATAAAAAAACTCAAGCATGCAACTCAGCTAGCAAAATCGCACACAGGTACATCCCGGCTAGGGAATGCCAGTTGGAAACAAAAACATGTTATGAGTTGGGCTCCTGCACCAAAGCAAAGGACTTGTAGTACTTGTCCATGGTGTGGAAAATGATGCAGATATTGGCAAGGCGTAGAGTACAAGCATGATGGCACGCAACTCTACCGATGGTGTCAAGAATGCAATTTCTTGAAGTATCAGACTTGCTTTTTTGTCTTTGGGTGGTGAGGCATGGGGCGCATCGACAGCCTCTTTTGCTTATTGTCAAATTCAGCGTCTTGCACATTGTTTGTATGGATGCATGCTTTTGCTGGATGTAAAGAACAACCAGCAACAGACAATAGCTGGGCTCTGCAAGTGCGATCTTGCATCGATGCGATCTAGCCCCATAGATGCAAGATCAGCCCAGGGTGATCAGGATTGCAGCCTGGGCACATACGTGCCAGTGCCGCAACTTGCTTCCCATAGCTGCAGGCATGCCAGAGGGCACAGTGCCACCTTTGAGAAGACCATTCCAGTGGAGTATCAGTGCACAGCTGGTTGCACAGTGGCAGGGGCATCAGCACAAAACTCACTGCAGTGCTGTGCATCGCAGAGGTCTTTCAAGACATGCTGATGCACACAGAGCCAGGCCTGCTGGAGAATGGTCTAATCGAAGAGCTGCTTGGAGAGCTTGAGGGCTTGAAGCAGGAGACGCCTGCCCTCATTCAGCAGCTCAGCGGCAAGGAGGGGCCAGACACAGAGGTCGTTCTGGCATCGGCCCTTGAGGCCCTCGATGGAGTCAATGTTGCGATGACACTGTACAAGGCTGTCAAGGAGGGGCGCACAAAGGAGGTGCAGGAAAACAAGGCAGCAACCCAAGAGAAGCAGGAGTCTTTCTCGTTTCTTGATTTGAGTGAGCCTTCTGTCATGCCTGGTGGAGCCACTGCTCCTGCCAGCAGTGCCAAGCCTGCCAGCACCACTCCCAACGTCGATCCGTTTGGACTGGGGCAGCTGGAGGATGGCCTTGCAGATGCCTTTGCAGACTTAGCAGTACAACGAGCGCAGGTTAGTTGCGAGCACTGGCGGCATGTGCATACTCATGGATTGTCCACGAGGCATTGACAGCTGCAGAATACGAGCGTCAAACACGAGGCATCCCCCACATGTTGCATATCTTATGTGCTTAAAGCTTGGAAGGCTGGCACCGCTGTGCACATTTTTTCCTTGTTGCTTCTTTCGATGAGGTGGCGTCGTGATACCACTGCATCCCAAAGGACTTGCACAGCGGTTTGCAAGTGAAGTTCCTGCCTTCTGCGTGCTCATAAGTGCCCCAACCGCTGGAAAGCACTAGCTGTCACTTGTCTCACTTCATTTAGAATTTTATAAGCACAGGAGACTTCTCGATTCAAGATCATCAGAACAAACAGATCACGACGATGAGCTGCGATTTCTGATCTGCCATGGTCGGACCTGAGTTCCAAAGCTCGCTTTTTCTTCTTTGGGATGGAGCATTGCTTTTATACAGGAACAACTGTTTAGAGCTTGGCATCGTCTTGCACCTTTTGGTTGGGTGTTACAAGTCCCACATATCTTCTGTTAGGACTGGTGTGGCAGCTGGATTCGTAAATGTGATGTTTGGAACGCAACAAGCACAGGGCGCTGTACTATCTCCACACCAAGTGGCAGTAGCATTCGGCTGACAGCTCGCGAACCCCTTGCAAAGCAGGGCCTCCGACTGCAAGCCTCTGTGCTCATAACTCCTGCCTTTCCCTTGCAGGAGGTCGCCAACGCCTTCCAACCCACTGCTGGCGCCTCCCCAGAGCCCACAGGCAACCCTTTCATGGGTGGAACCCTGCCCGCCTTTCCGACGAACCCCAACCCTTTCGCCCCAGCTGCTCCTACAACAGCACCAGTCCGCCAGCTGGGTCGTCAGATATCAGCGCCAGAGGCCCGCATGCAGGAGTACCAGGGACATGCCTCGATGCCGCATGTCGGCCAGCCGATGGGCATGATGAACATGGGCGGCTCCGGGTCCATAATGCAGTCCAATCCCCGTGCGCTTTCAAGGTCGGCCACTCAGACTCGGGCTCCCAGCCCCACCCTGAGTTCACTGGACCCCTTTGCGGAGCTAGCTGCGACACCGCCCAGAGCGGTGGCGCGCGGGAAGCCTATGATGGGGATGATGGGACAGCCGCGGCCACTTGCTCAAGGGGCCAGCAATGCGATGAACGGCATGCCGCCCTGTCCCAGCAACCAGCCCCTGGGCATGCGGATGACGCCAGGACCGATGCTGAACACCACCATCGGTGGGAACGGGAATGTCAGGGGGGCCATGGCAGGCTTTGGGCCGCCGCCCCAGCAATCACCTGGCCTGAACATGGCTGGCGGCCATCAACTGGGGGGTGGCCAGTGGAGGTGAGGAAGGGGGCAAGTGCTTGTGCGCGCCCCTTGGGCGCAGCTTCAAGCATGACATTTTTTGGAGAAGAACAGCAAGGTACAATACACGAACTGACGTCTGGGGCAGCCACACCAACTCGGCGAAGTTGTTGCGGCCCCATCCGAACTTTCAGCCCGTGCAGTGCTGGCCGCTTCCACCTGTTGAATGGAAGTGAGCGCCAGTCCCATCACGGGTGTATGGTCTGCATTGCTATAAACTTAGTACGTATGAGGTTCTCAACGAGTAAGAGTGGGAACAGCCAGAGTTGCCCTGGCACCGTGACCTCCAAAAACTAGTTAGTATTGGGGCGGATTCTCGGCGACAGTTGTGGATGATCGCGGTGACACAACTGAGGGCGTTATGCGGCCAGTGGCATCGTCGCTCTCTGAGAGTTGCGCGCGCTTGTTGACTTGTTGAGTGCCGCATGCGTGCATTTCTGTTGAATTCTGAATAACTAGTCGTTGCTGACTGCGGTTGTAAAAAACATGACCAAGCAGTGGCCTTTCACGCGGTTGGTGATGTGAGGCGTATTGTTGTGCTGCTTGCATAAACATCCCCAAGAAGACCTTGCATGGACTGGCTTGTTGAGTGGTTGTGGCTGCCAGAAGTGCAGTGCCCCAAAAATGTCGGTCGATAGCCATTCGTTCTGGGAATCGGATTCCGACGGGCCAACTCCATTGTATAACTAAAGATAGTGTGCTAAATGTTCCTGACTGTATCGAAAATCCTCGAGCTAGCTGGCGGCAGCGAGACAGAGATGATATACACGAATAGGAACGTCAATGTGGAGGTCTGAGTGAAGGTCGACGCTCGCTGCCATAGGGACATTCAAATCCATCGCTGTTCTTGCTGATGTGATAGCAATGGGGACATGCAAACCAGTCTACACGCTTGGGAATGTTGACCGAAGGAGCGGTCCTACAGTGTCTCATTGCCAACCACTTTAACACGTAAGAGACAAGCGACAAGCTCCGTGCAAGAATAGTCAGCGTAAACTTGCCGTGTACCCGGCCTTGGTATCAACATATGATTTCAAATTTGCTCCAGGTTTAGGATTGACAGAGCTGCCACCCGTTCAATTCACTGGAAGAATCCAGATCATTGACAGAATCCCAAGAAGGCTGACATTATGCCTGAATATGAATAAACAACACTGCCAGCGGTACACATCACCAGAGACTGCATCTCAACGATGTGTAAATGAGACTGCAGCGAAGTGAGCTGTGCTGGGGACACAATCTCCACGATGAACTCCTCGACCAGCTACCTGCGCACTCCAGCAAGCATGTTCACTGGACAAAGGCACAGCTTCAGGAGCCTCTCGCATCTCCACATCCTGCCCATCCAAGGCAGATCGCGCTGACCCCTGACCGGAGGCTGAGAGCATCATCGCTCTCCAAGATTGGGCCACATTCCACGCCTCGCTTCAGGGCAACAGATTTGCTCCGCTGCAGAGGCCCATGGCAAGGGCTGCCTCTTCCTCCGCCTTTTCCTTCTCATAGGTCAGCAGGGCCCGAAGCTTCCTCTCCAGCTCCAACTGGCAACAAAGCACAGAGAAGGGGTGGAACCAAGCCCTCCAGGATGCAATTTGGTAACCAACCGAGCTGTGACAACTTGCAGATGCTGTGTTTTCAAAGGCAATTTCAAAACAATGAACGAAACCGCCTCGACATGCAAGTTTACAATCGGTTCTTGCCGCTTATGGGCGATGTGCACATACCACATGTCCTTGAACTGCATCTGGGAACAACAACGGAAAGGCAGATTGACTGTTCATTTGCAGAGGCTAAGCGCACCGCAATGCTTCAGCCTTTCCTAAGCCCAACAGCCGTCGTCGGCAGCTGTTGGGACTACGATGGGCACTCTTGGCGTCACCTAACATGTGCAAGAGCATTGCTTTGCCACACATCGGCGAACAGATTCAGGTAGGTATTGCAAGTAGGTGAGGCTCTTGACAAGTAGATGAAGGTCCTTTGAACATGGGCCAAGCCACAATTCTCAAAGGAATTGGATTAGGAATAAAGGACCGTATCCAAACCTCCTTGCTGTGAAGGCGAAGTGTGTACTTTAAGAGTTGTGTTTGAGGGATGAGAAGTGGCAGGTATCCTTGCAGGACGCAACCATCACTATTGATTCACAATAGACTTTAAAACATGCTGGCAAAAAGTCTTTGATGTTTTATTTTTGGGTCAATTTGGAGCCCCTGCTTATTCACTGCAACGGCTTTTGTGGTTCCAAGCTGACGTCTTTCATGGAGGGCTGGTGTGCGAATTGGGCAATTGGGACTGCAGCAAAGTGGAGGATCAATCGCAAGCAGAGCAACGTGCAAGGCACTGCCTATGATTTCGTTGTCAAATGAACACCCAACATCCCCAGAGACACTTTCAGAAGAAATTCTGCACTGCAATGCTCACAAGGTCCAGCTAGACGACAAGGTAAATTGTATACTGGCGACAGAGGTCAAAGGCAACAGACTTGCATCTGAACGCCACCAGTTGGCGACAAAGTATTCAGGAGCGCACCTCTTCTTTTAGGACCATCAATGTCTGACTTTTCTCGAGCAACTCCTTTTCCTTTTGTAGCAACACGAGCTCCTTCTCAGCCAGCTCGCTTCTTGTCTGAACAGTCCGCAAGCCAGATTTCACATTAGTCAGACAGTGGAATACAATCAACACGTTCATGTGTTGCCCATTCCAAGGCATCAATTTTTTACTGTGATACCCGCTGTTTTTCAAATACGAAGCAAGTCATCAGGCAGCCCCCTTCCACAGTGAATGGATGCGCGACACATGTCCGCACAGTTTGCAAAAATGGAATTTTGAGGACACAGCCGCTGTCATTGCACGCAGGTGCATGGGAAAGGACCGCTTTCAACAACAAGTCCCGATCCCGCTGCACAGCAGTGCGCCACCGTCTCGCCAGCATTGGATTCCGCGCCCAGGGAGCCGCAAGGATTCTCGCAGGGGCGGGCAGAGTCGTCATCGACCTCTTCCTACTCGCGCATTTAGCTGAGAAAGAGCCTCACACTCATTTGCTTTGGAAGGGGGTGCCCATTGCACGACATGCCTTCTTTAATTTGTAAAGAATCTCACCTCTTCCAACTCGCGTATTCGCCCCTTCTTCTTCCGCCGCCGGTTGCGCTCCTCCTCCTCCTCCATCAGCTGCTTCTCTGCCTCCACTGACAGCTCTATCGAGTCTAGCGGTGCGGCGCTGAACCCGGGCGCCTCGCCCTCCGCCGTCGCGGCCGCATCATCACCCCTGCCGCTCCCGCTCTCGCTTCCCCCTTCCTCTCCCGGCGCCTCAATCCCCGTCGTTGTCGACTCCTCGATGGCAGCAGCAACCCCCGGCCACGTAGGGATCGACCCAACTGCCCGAGCACACAAATCTTAGGGTGCAATGTACGGCCGCATTCATGTTCAACGCGCTGTCGCGGTGGTCATCGTCAGGCGGAATGGCGACCCATTGGCAAACCGAGGGTAAGAAATTGACCGGGATTGATCCACCTCGCGGTCGCAACTCACGCAGGAGGCCGGCTGAGATAAGGAACCCCCTCCTGCAGGCCCAGGGGCCGTGCTCCGGCGGGCAGGCGCGGGCGCAGGGCTCCGGGGCGGTCATCCGCCGGGGCGCGGCCGGGCAGGGCGATGGAGTCGTCCCGCGGGATGGCGCGGGCGGTGCGGACTGTGCCAGCGCGGAGATCATCGCGGCGGCCGCAGCGGCGCAGGGAGGCTGCCCGCGTTGGCGCCGCTGGCTTGGGCTCTCAGGCTCCCCGTTTGATCTGGAGGGGGGTGCGGGTGGGCCAGCGGGGGGGTGGCGGATGGGATGCGGGGTGTACGGCATTTGGGAGCGGGAGGGGTGGGCGAGGAACTATTTTGCGAGAGCGGAAAGTAGGTAGGTTGGCGGGGGGCTGGCATTTGAGGTTGGGCTGGGCGTGGATTGGCCTGCGCAGGACTTACTTTGAGGGAAGTGGTCCTCTTTTAGGGCCGCTTTCCTTTGCCGTTTTGTGGGCGCGCAATGGCCGGACCCGAGGCATGTGAAAAACTGCAGAGTTTGAACATTTATTTTGGTTCGTGAAATTTTCCGCACCGAGGCGAGGACGTGGCGGTCAGCTTCAACATTCAGCAATCAAAGGTCGTCGAAAAGGAACGGGCTCGGCGTTCGAGGAGGGAGGCAGCCTTTCGAAGAATGCAGAACGCTCTTCCCTCCCGCCTATCGCGCAACGTGACGGGAAGGAATCACGAAACATCCCCGTGCGACTTGAAGCTCCAATGTGAGAGCGCTCTGATCTGTCCATGGGCCTCCCACCTGTGTCTCCCTTAAACGTCGAGAGGAAAAGGAGGGATGCACCCCCCCTTCCTCTCGCATGTGTGGTCTCGATTACATGTAATGCACGAATCTTACCCCGTGCGACATGCGGCCCCTTCGGGCGCCCCCGATTCCGGAACGGTCCCCAAGATCCGGGTTCAACTCTCCCGGATCCCATTCCGCCCCGAGGCCCTTCAAAACGCCCAGATCGACCGACGGCCCTCCGCGTCCCGTCTCCCCCGCCGCGCCAGCCGGCTGGAGCTGCGCCCAGCCGGTTGCCCCACCGCTCTGCACCCACCCCTTGACTTTAAACGATCTACGGCAGATCTCGCCGCCCCCCCTCCTGTTGTAAGTGCGCATTCGGCCAGCGCGGGGCCCGGTCGCACGCAGATGTCGAAATCAGGCTGTTCGGAGGGAGGGGGCGCGGCGGGAGGCGGCGCCCTCAGATCATACACCTTCGACGAGGTAGCGACGCACGACAGGCCGGACGACTGCTGGGTGGTGGTGCGGGGGCGCGTCTACGACGTAACGGCCTTCGTGCCGCGCCACCCCGGCGGGAACATGATCTATATCAACGCGGGCAAGGACTCCACGCACCTCTTCGAGTCGTACCACCCCTCGTGTGCCAGGTGGGACGGGGGTGGGGGGTGGGGGGTTGGGTGGGTCAGGGGCACAAAGGAAAAAGGGGTGGGGGGTTGGGGGGGAAGGGACGGTTGGGGATGTGACGGGACTGGCCCGTGTGATCTGCTGGCTTTAGGGCGATTGGTATTTTGTCTTTGTGAGTTGGGGGCGGGGGAGGGCTTGGCCTGGCGGGGCACCGGGCGGAGAGGGTAGAATGGGCAGAGCCGCGAGCGGCAGGGCCTCTGGGAGGCCGAGAAGCCGCATGCAGGGCGCTTCGTCGAAGATCAGCGGTGGTGAGATCAGCGATTGTGAGGAGTGCGGGGCGGGGAGAGGTGTCAGGGCGGCCCTATGTCCCGTAGCTTGCGGCTAAGGAAGGCGCACCATGATCGAACTTTATGGTGCCCGACCCTTGACCGGAGAATCAAGGCTGCTGAGGGGCGTGAAAGCTGTGTGTCGATCTATGTGTGGGCTTGCATTCCTGGCCCACGTGATATGATGGGAAACTTAACTTATTCCCCGGTTGCGAGGATGTAGCAGCGTTTTCCGGGGAAGGCAGGCGATCAGAGCATTGAGGAGGGGTCCTCTTGCAAATTTTGAACCAATGCTTAATCAATGGCGAGCTGGCAACGTCCGTTGTTGGCCATTTGTGTGTGAAGTTATCGTACGTACAGGAACACAGCATGCACAGCGTTTCATGGCACGCTCCATCTTCTGTTGGAGGAAGCGAACTGCAACGTGCCCTTGGCAGCCACAGAATTATGTGGAGTGTCCAACCCACCGTTTGTGCTCTTGACTCAGGGAGATCCTGAAGCAGTACTGCATTGGTGAAGTGCGCGCCACTCCAGGGACCAAGGTGTTCAGCGTCGAGTATGACGAAAACCAAAAGGACAAGGAGTTTTATGAATGCTTGAAGCAGCGTGTTGGCAAGTACTTCAAAGACAACAAGGTGATTGTTATTTTTTTGTGTTTTTATTTTTTTGAGAGCACACTCACCTGTGGGCCTGGCTGGCTTGGGGGTGGGGTGGAGGGTTAAAGCAGACTTCCGTTGTGGCTTTGTTCAGCTTTATAAGGAGTTTTGATATAGAAGGTTGTCTTCAGAATGTTATTGAAGCTGTATTACGCTATGGAATGGTGTGCTGCACAACAGGTAGGCTCACACTCTACAAGCACAACAAGTGAAATTCCATGCACTGGAGCCAAAATTGGATTGCACAATAAGGTGGTGGCAGCTGCCTTGTGACTGCTTGTATGAAGCTGGAATTGTTGGTTGGTTGCATTGTCAAAGGTGTATCGACAGGAAAAATGCATCCCGTAGTGTGCTCGCTCATCCATCTTCCATGTTCTAAATGCAGCTGCCCAGCCTGGACCGAAACGGAGCTCTGCATTCTACAGCATACATATACACAGAAAAAATGAAAGCAGGAATGCAGGAATGCAAAACTTGCCTTGTGTAGAATGTGCGAGAGGGAGTTTGTTGATACGAACTGGTGCAAATTGTGGAAGCCTTCTCGGCCCGAGCTGAGTAGTCAATGTTACGTTTTGAATTCACAGATTTCTGCTGGTGTCCAATGGTGATTTTTATGTGGTGTGGTACAGTTGAATCCAAGATTTTCAATTGAGATGTATGTGAAGTTTGCAACCATCATGGTATGCTTGGCGCTTGTCACGTACGGGGCCTTCTTCTACCCTTTCAAGAGCTTCTTGGTGGGTTGGACCATCTTGCCACTCCTGGTATACGCCTTACAGGCAGTCCCCTGTTGTAACCTGTGTGTGCTCTCCCTACTGTGTGCTGCTGCCGATCCAGAACTTCGCTGCAGCCTGGCGGTCATGTGCATCAGTGTAATTTCATGCATGCTTTTGCAAACGAACTGTCCGAGCATCCAGGCCCAACTGAAACTGGTGGCAGAAACTATCTTGTCATACATGCCAAAGGTGCCCACTTATGCCCACCTGTGCCAGCACTCATCATCAGTGGTTTGCTCATTCTGAGTTCAGATAAATGTTGTGGCTGGCATGTAGCACCAGAAACACACGTAGGTCACACTTCTTTGAGCACAATGTCTACAGGAAAAGATCCTTACCGTCGACACCACACATACACGCACACTGAGAGCCACAGACTTGTGTGTCATAGACATTTGAAGATCGCAGTTTGAACAACTGCTATGCTTGCTCCACAATCCATCGCCTACTCTCTGTGCCAAATTCACAGTTGACGACCTGCACCAACACAGTTCAACAAACTGTCACGTGCTTTCTTCCCAACCCTGTGGAACACAATTGCACCATGTATATTGTGGTCCACCCTGGTGTGCTTGTGCATGTTTAGTGACTGGAAATGCGTTTTGGGTCTGCCACACCAGCTCAATGATGGCATGTAGCTGTCTTCCCCAAAGCAATCTGTACATGATTTGCATGGAAAATTGTGGTGTGGGTATTCCTATATATTTGTCATGCTTTTCACCTTGTTCCAGAGCATTGTGAGGAAAGTCTCTGATTTTGTCAGAATTAGAAGAGAAAATGAATAGGGCATTGGCTGCCAAACACATATGGGTGGATGTCAGGATTGCTACAATACCAAATCAGGATGCAGCCATGGGGCACAACAACATGCAGTCCAGCTCATTTCCACTGGGCGGAGGGAATACAAGCATGACATTGGAACATGGCCACAGCCACACAGCAACATCAGAGACGAATTGTAATGACCTTTGTGCAGCGCAGAGCTCATTCATCTGCGCGGTTGGCCTGGGTTTTTTTTCAGCTGAGGTGGGCTTGTCCATCCAGCATGACGCCAACCATGCTGCCTTCAGCACCATCCCCTTTGTCAACAAGGTTGTGGGCTTCACCCTGGATGCTGTTGGGGCATCGTCCTTCATGTGGAAGCAGCAACACGTTGTGGGCCATCATGCCTACACGAATGTGGACGGTGTTGACCCTGACATTCGGGTGAAAGATCCTGATGTGCGGCGCGTAACGCACAACCAGCCTTGGCAGCAATACCAGGTGGGCAATACCTGAAAGCAGGCTGTCGTTGTAACGAATGCAGGGGTGTTCTATTCAGTATATATACATTTTGATTGAAATCTGCCTTCACAAGACAGAGAAGGGCCCCTTCACTCTAAAAGTGATGCGCATCTAGAACGTGGGGCGCTCTGCTTGTCTTGCGCTCTCTATGTGGGTGTGCCTGTGTCCAGTCTTTTCAGCAGGAAAGGAAAGTTGTCATGCCATATCTCCTCCCCCCCCAGCAAGAGTTTTGAGACTCTTTGCTTTGCTGCAGAACTTTGATGCAGAAGTCCCCATATGCAACAGGAGAAGGTGTGCAGAATTATGATCTAGGTTACTGAATCGACACGGTTCTGATGTTGTTGCACCTGAGATCATGTGCGAGCAGCAAGGGCTTTGTCATGGCTTTATGATCAATATATAGTAATTGGAACTACAAACCACAGGAAAAAAGCACCCAAACAATAGCCCCACCAATCACCGGATTGTTGGTGTGCTGTGGGGAGGACCTAAGTTCTGTTATCAGAACGATTTTCCTTTTCATTCTTGTGCACACAGTGCTCAGGTTGCTCGGCACACCACCAATTGCACGATGTTCTCCATTGCTCACAGGCCTGAGTGCACTTCAGCGCATGTTTGGGTGGCAAATACGCACACATGTTTTATCGTGAGCTTTTGGCAAACACAACAGACAGAAATGACCACCACACACACACAGCACAAGACTGTGCTTTGAGCTGCTGTCAGTGCTGTGCATTGGTGTCCACAGATATACCAGCACATATACCTGGGAGCTCTGTATGGCCTGCTGGCAGTGAAAAGCATCTTCGTTGACGACTTCAGTGCGCTGGCGAATGGCCACATCGGTGCTGTGCCCCTCACCAGGCTCACCGCTGAGGAGCGGGTCGTCCTTTGGGCCGGGAAAGTGGTGTGGTCACTGTACTACCTGGTGCTTCCTGTTGTGTACAGCCCCCACGGCATGTTGAAGCTCATGATTTTGTGGATCACTGCACAGCTGGTGACTGGGTGGATGCTTGCTTTCATGTTCCAGGTACAGTTCTCACATCAGCCAGAGATGTGACAGTAATGTGTGTGGCATGTACTGTGCAATGGAAATTATATTTTGCAGTATTTTGCTGTTGCAAGCATTCCCATTCAATAGCACGTAACAATTGTGTGACAGCGAAGCTGCAGCAGCATCCTTGGGAACGGTGCCAAGCGTGTTTGCCTGAAAAGCAACAGCCAAGGAGTGTGGCAGGTCGATGGCCTGGCAAGGTCTGTTAAGTTGACTTTGGGGATGTTGGCTCCTGGAGGGGGGTGCCTGTGAGAGTTGGTGTGTTGCTGCTGGTAGGGCATAATAACACACTGCCTTTCCACTTTGCAGGCCTTGATAGGTATTTCTGCATAATGTATCTTGTTCCCAAACATGTGCAACTCCCCTGGCGGCTCCGGCAGTGTTCTGTTGCCAATACCGTGGTTATATTCCAACCTGAGTTCGCTTGGTCACTGTACTGATGGGACCCTTGGCGCCTCCATGAATGCACAAGTCATGAGATGGCAGCTTGGAACACTTAAGAATACTGTAATCTGCTACCGCATTGGTAGGGTAGGACCGCATGAGTACACAGCCTGCTGTCACATCACGCTGGGGGCATGCTGCCGGTCTGTCACATCCCCTAGTCAGGGTCTGATGCGCGAAATCTGACCTCATGGGGTGCCATCACGTCACGCCGTGCAATTGTAGTTCCCCAACGGCGTAGTGTTTTCAGACCTTCTGCATCCTGAAATTTCAGCGATGCGATTGTACTGCACATTTGTTTAGCATGCTGTTAGTAATTTTTGCATTCTCATCATGGGCACTGGCGGAACGGCGACTGCACCCAGTTCGCATGGCCAAATGTGCTGGGCTTCCTTCGCAGCGACTCGTGCAACCAACTGCCAGAACTGCCAGACGCTGTATGCAGTTCAGATACCATTGTGCTTTGGTTTGGGGCTTTCTGGCTGTGGCAGGGACGATTTCCAGACAGCGTTAGGGTGCAGTGTGTTCACCCAACGGGAGAGCGGGTTGCGGTGAACCCGGCTGCTCTTGAAGCTATCCAGAATGTTACTTTTTTGGCTGCTCCGTGCTTGTTTTGTGGACCAACATATGAATGTGACGATGCCAACAACAGCCAAGCATTACGTTGCGTTGCTGAAGATATGATTGTAGCATGTTGTATGCCATGGTATTTTGTGTTTAGACTTCTATTTTTAGCACAGCTGTGTTTTCTCCACCGAAACTCTGCACCCACAGTGATGTCCGTTGTATTTGGCCCAGGTTCTATGCATCGCAATGCAGCATTGCACCGCTAATCCAATCTTGCTCACAGACTGTGTTTAACAGTTGACAGACCTGCTTGGGGCTGACATTCACACCAGGTTTCGTAGTACATCTGATCAGCATGAATCAAAGAGGGTTGTGAATGTTTCAACGCTGATCCAGGTGGCCCATGTGACTGGTGATGTCGACTTCTTCAGTGAGGACGAAAGCAACAATGGGCGTGTCCCTCGAGGCTGGGCGGCTGCTCAAGTCCAAACCACCGCTGACTTTTCACATGGATCGTGGTTCTGGACTCATGTCTCTGGAGGTCTCAATTACCAGGTCTGTTCTTGCATCATGCATTGAGGTTGTGATCGCGCAGCAGCTTTTGTCCCTGGGCTGTACGACAGTGTTGCAATATTCTTGCTGAAAGGCATGGCCTGTTCAGCGCATTATTTGTGAGTTGGGGGTGCACAAACTACAGTCCCAGTAGATTAGCTGGAGCTTTTTGCAAGGAGTCAACTGCACTGTTGGGGAGCTGACTCTGTGTTGGATGCTTTGTGGCGAATACCTAATGCAGTGAACTGTATTTGTGTACACGTGCAATTGTCAGTGCCCAATGAGGGCAACAAGGGACAGAATTCACCAAGTCAATGTTTCGACCCAGGAACGCTTGTTGGCGCCTCTGGCTGTCAAACTGCCTTGGTTACAGCTGTCAACCTGGGAGCAGGTAGCTGCGCCAGTTTCATGGACTGTCGAACTCAGTTGTAGGAGTGTGGCGTCAGCATTGTCGGCCCTGCCAACCTGATGACGCGCTTGCCCATGGCAACAGATTGACCATTTCACACTATTTCAGTCCCTGCTATATTGTGTTAATTTGCTTAAAGTGGTGTATCAGTTAAGTGAATACTTGTTGAATATAAAGTACTCCATTTATTGATTTGAGTAGAGCATTGGTGTAGAGAATGGGCGAAAGTGCGTGATCTTAACTGCCCTTTCGGCTCATTTTAACCAGAGCATTGTGCCCTGCCCGCAGGTAGTCCACCACCTATTCCCTTGGGTGTGCCACATGCACTACCCCAAAATTGCTCCCATAGTGCTGGACGTGTGCAAAGAGTATGGCGTCAAGTACGTTGTGTACCCCACGTTCTGGGCTGCGGTGCAGGCCCACTTTCGGTATCTTTCTGCAGTGGGGAAGGGACCCAAGGGCAATTGATGCGGCATGGAAGCGCCGACAGCCCCTCGGACCTGCTTGGTGCGTCGCTTCCGAGCCTCGAAACTGCCGGTTGTACTACCTGCTGGTTGGGGGCGGGTCGGTTGGAAAGGCGACTTCGATCGCCAATTTTTCTGTGTGCTGATTTGGCGAATGTGAACGAATGAGTGCGAGTACTGTACCGTATTCTAATTCAGCGTGTCCAGGCCCTGTTGATGTGCCTGTGGCCGTGGTTGGGTATTGTTGGATTGGTGCCGTCTGGTGTCGAGATTGTAATTCCGGACGTCGGTGCAGGTGCGTGGCCATGCGGCGGCATGCGTCCACGCAGCGCAGCTTTGTACTGATTGGAGGTTTGTGCACCAATAGAAGCCGGAATGGCAAACGGCCACCGTGGGTCCTTGTTCGGACTCTGCTGAGCAGAAGCGCCAGAAGGGCCCCTGTTTAGGACAATGCCCGGCAAGAAAACTGCAACTGGCGCTAATTCTGCCTTTGAAATTCGTGTCGGGTAGACTTTGTCCAGGGATTCCGCCGTGGTTTAGCCAAAAGTTTCCATCAATGAACATGCCGAATTGGCTGCCCACGACCCGTTGAGTGTTCATCATCATCATCAACATTTCTTACAGAACAAGGCAGTGAGGTAGCCGTCAACTTCCATTGAGTGTTCAACCATTGCGCATCAGGAAATCGGAGCATTACACTTTGGCTTCAATATCTCGAGGGTCACCAACTTGGGGGGTCACCCACTTCAACCTGCCCAGAGAGACCTGGTTGGACGCCCACTGGTTGCCTTTTGCAAAGTCGGTTTTGGTCACCAGGCTGCGGTGAAAGCGGTCACGTGATCATGTTTCAAATGGCTGGAATAAGAGTGCATTCGGCACGACCAGAGAAAGGGTAGGCACTTCTTTGTCACATAAGATGCTGCAACCCTGGGGCTAATGTGGGCAAGTGGCACCCTTCCTGGAAGTTGGTGAAGGAACCAATTGTGTCGATCCGACACCTTGACGAAGAGAACCACCACCGTTTTATTCCGCTCAGTCCACCTGGACTCCTAACTGTGGTGCGAATATTCGGAATAGGAAGAACACACTTGATCCAACAACACGGAACTTGCCTGTCCTGTCGTCGAGTCATTCATTTCGCGACGACGTCATAAAACAATTCTACCCGCGTCCGCTGGGCAAAGCCCACTCCCAAATTGGACCAACAGTCCTGATCCAGGCTGGGCCTCGTGCGTTCCACGCGCAATGCGCTCCTTAGGGGTGCCCACATTTGAATTTCGATTCTTCGAATTACTGCATTTTTAATTTAAAAACAATTGTTCCCAACACGGGAAACAACAAAGCATGAAACCGACATCTCTCGGGCAAGTAGGAAGTCGACGGCCACCTCCTTGCCTTGTTGTGCAAAAATGGATAGTGCCGATGACGATGAAATGCTGCGATGATGGCGAAATCAGTGTCCATCCAATCTGGCTCGCGCGTTGTGTGCCATCCCCCCCAGAACGCAAAGTTTCGACCGCGGCACCAAGGGGCCGTTCGCCACCGCCTCCCCCTCGACCAGCTCGCCGGGCGCCCGGCCTCCGCCCCCCTAGTGCCCCGCCGCCAGGAACTCGTCCGTCGACCTCATCCTGGCGTACGCGAATCCCAGCGACGCCATGTACGCCGCGTGCACCTGGCCCGCGGGCACCTCCACTCCGCCGAACTCCAGCCCCCTCGCCGCGCACGCGTCGTGCACCACCGTCACCGAGTAGCCGAAGTCGGCCGCCGCCCTGGCCGCCGCATCGATGCACATGTTGCTCATCGCCCCCGCCACCACGACCTCCTCGATCCCCGCCCGGTCAAGGATCCCCTTGAGGTCGGTGTCCCTGAAGGCGTTGATCCGCCGCTTGAGCACCAGCGGCTCGCCCTCAATCGGCCGGACCTTGGGGTGGATCTCGGCGCCCTGGGATCCGGGGGCGAAGAACGGCGCGTCCGGATCGGGGAACTCGTGCCGCACGTGGACGATGAGTTCTGAGCGCGACCGCGCGGTGGCGATCAGGCGGGCCGCATTGTCCGCGGCGGCCTCCATGCCGTCCAGCGGCCACCGCCCGCCGGGGAAGTAGTCCATCTGCACATCGATCACGATGAGGGCGCGGTGGGCCATGGCTTTGCGCGTGTTTGTGGCGGTGGACGCTTTTGTCCACAGGGTGGGGTGGGGGTTGGGGGGGTGGGGGGAGGGGTCGGCAAAGGCGGAGCGACAACGCGAGCAGAGTGGTTTTATAGGGCGGCAGTGGCGCGGACTGACGTTGTCCAGGGGGCCGGTTTGACGTGTATGTTGGTAGCCGGTGTTGGGCCGTGTGGAGGTGAGTTGACGAGCGTGGGGCCGGTGTACGAGAGGGTGTGCATCTGGTTGTCTTGAAGCGACAGCTGGCGACTTGACAAGGCTGATGCTTCTGGCGGCATGCTTTTTAGTAACGCGGCGCTGACGCCATGGGGCGGGTGCTTCTACGGCATGTGGGCCATGTGCGGGAGTGTGTGCATGTGGTTGTCTTGAGGGGACTGTTTGCGATTTGACATGGTGGATGTTGCTGGGGAAGTGACGTGACGTGACAGTGACGTGACGTGACGTGACGTGCTGGGGAAGTGACGTGACGTGACGTTGCGCCGAGCGGCGGGCTCTTCAGTGATGTGCGGGAAGGTGCGTGTGTGGTTGCCTCGAGGGGACAGATCCCAGTTTGACGTGGCGGCTGCTTCCAACTGGGGTTGCTGATCTTTAAATCTCGGGGGGCCTTGCCCACCCGTTTATAGACTTCCTTCTTTGCGTTAACTCGGGTATGGAGGGCACACTCGGGGCGCCTGACCATCTACTCTAAAACTGCAGAACACATACGCAGAATCTCTGCACTTTTAACACCTTCGAGTGCCGTCACACCAGTTTGCCAATTGTCTCTCCTTACATTGAAATTCAAGCGAAAAACGAGATAGCCACACATTCGTTTCGCCAACCTTTAGTCCCAAGTTCCCCGTTTGCACGGATCGTCTCGAAACTGCGTTCCCAGCCGTGCAAAACTGTGCTCAGTTCGGTTTCCTGGACTTTATCACCAACCGCGCCCTGAAACAAGGGTCGCTGCCCATAAGCTAGCCACAACTTTAAGAGTTGTGCCAAACACTTTCTCACTGAGCCAGTCATACCCAGTTTGCGTAGCGGCAGCGCCATTCACACCGAATCCAAGTGTGCCCACAACGGACACTCCCGTTGGCCGTCCAAAGTCCCCTCCCAACGGCCCTAATCCCGATTTAAACACAATCACTCCATTACATTCCGTCAATTCCGCTTCCAAGTCCGTGGGGCACTTTGTCCTGGGCAGAAAAACTCAAACGTCCGCGAGTGAGATGGCCCGCCACATGAACCGAAGGACGTGTTCTGCGATGCACAACAATGTCGTTGAATTAACACTGTTGCTTCCTGTCA